AAAATGGCTGCCTTAATAGTATATGTGGATGACATAATTGTTACTGGTGATTGGAAGGATGAAATTCAAAGGTTGAAGGGTTTCCTTGCCACTCAGTTTGAAGTGAAGGATCTAGGACCTGCCAAATACTTCCTTGGAATTGAAGTTGCTTGATCAAAAAAAGGTATCTTTATCTCCCAAAGGAAATATGTCCTAGACTTGCTTCAGGACATTGGAAAGATGGGGGTTAAGCCAGCTGACTCTCCCATTGACCCCAACCATAAATTAAGTGACAGCCAGGGTGAACCTCTTAAAGTTGTGAAACAATTTCAGAGGCTTGTAGGGAGATTGTTATATCTCTCTATGACCCGTCCAGACATCGCATATGCTGTTGGTGTCCTCAGTCAGTTCATGCATGCACCTAGGTCTACACATCTTGAAGCAGCAGAGAAGATACTACGATATCTTAAGAAGTTTCCTGGTGCTGGCTTGTTATTTCAAAGGCACGGGCATTTGAGAGTTGAAGTTTATATAGATGCGGATTGGGCTGGATCTCAAAGTGACAGAAAGTCTACTAGTGGTTACTGCACCTTTGTAGGAGGGAACCTTGTTACTTGGAGGAGTAAAAAGCAAACTGTGGTGGCTAGATCCAATGCTGAAGCTGAATACCGTGCAATGGCCCACGGAGTAGTTGAAGGTATGTGGATAAAGAATCTGTTGAGTGAGTTGGGTTTCCCAGTGGACAAACCCATAACTCTATTCTGTGATAACAAAGCAGTTATAAGTATTGCTGCTAACCCGGTACTACATGACAGAACAAAGCACATCGAAGTTGACAAGCATTTTATCAGAGAGAAAGTCATCACAGGCGAAGTATGTACTCTCTATGTCCGCTCTGAAAACCAACTGGCAGACATCTTCACAAAAGGACTAAACTATTCCAAACATCATGATCTCTATGATAAGTTGGGCATGATTGATATCTATGCCCCAACTTGAGGGGGAGTGTTGACAGATGTTGTTGTACACAGGTTTAGTACCGTAGGGGTATTTCTGTAATTTTTCCATACTTTATGTTGTATGACCAGTATAGTATAAATAACAACAGCTTCACTTGCCTGAAGTATTCTTTGAGGCATTCAGTCCTCTCGCCTATCCTCTCTTCTCTTGCTCAACAATAGCTAACACTTCAACAAAGAAGGATAGAATTCTGTCAGAATGGATTCCGCCTTTGGAAGGTGTCATCAAGCTGAACTTTGATGGAAGTAGCCAAGGCAACCCCAGGCCTTCAGGTATAGGGGGTATCCTGAGAAATAAGGACAGCAACATAATTTCCCTATTCCCAGG